CGACTATTATTGACAATGTCTCCTCTTCACCCAAATGCAAGTATTTTAAGTGGTCGGGTAAGTCTTTCAATTTATTTTTTGGAGCCTGCACAATAGAAGAAAGTATTTTTTTGTTAGTTTCTGAATTTACTTGTTCAATAAATGGTGTTGAAAATATTTCTTTGAAGTTAGTCTCATCGTCTTTAAGATCAGCTTGTGCACAAAACCACAATTTACATTCAATGTCTTTGTTTAAAAGATACCATGCACAATTGAATCAACTATATTAACTTGACAAAGAGATTGTATATCATTAGAACATTTCATTGCATCAAGAATATTGAATTTCTCAAACTCTCGTCCAAACTCCATAGACATAATGTCCTAATCTACATCGATCTTTGTCTTTGATGTCTTCATGAATGATCTTCCTAACAAAATCGAATGTGATTTTGAGGAGAAATTACCTTCTATTTTCAAGATGTAAAAATATATAGAAAAAATCAGCTGATTAACTTGTACCGAAACATCCTCAACAACTCCAACTGGATTATTGTAGGAACGATAAGCTAATTAAATTATCACATCAGTCTTTTGCATGCCATTTACTTTTAAATCTTGTTAAATGGAAAATGACATGACGTTTATTAAAGCTCCTAAGTCTAACATAGCATGTCCAATTCTTTTTAAGGATGAAATTTCCTTTAAGGGGGAGAGTTATCAGACCTGGTAAATTTTGAGGATGAAGTTTCTTTTAAGGAAGGAGAGTTGTCACATCCCAAATTATGGTCTAATTTTTTCTTAATTTTAATTTCAAGGACTAAATTCAATGTTGGTTAAAGTTTGGGGACCAAAAAGAATTTTTAATTAAATTCGAGATTGAATTCTAAAATAAACAAAAGCCTAATGACTTATGGCTTAATTTTTTTATTTTCCTTTTTTGTGAGATTTTTAAACCCTAAAACCTACAATTTTCATTTTTTTTGGAAAACCATAAACACTCTCTCTCCAAACTTTCCTCTTTTAACCATTTTTCTCAAAGATCTTTCAATAGTTGATATGTCGTCGACCTTTGTTCCATTTACTACACCACCTACATCATCGTGTTCCTTGCGTCATTCCGAGTCCAATGGTGGTCGCCTTTTTGTCATCACCGCATAAGTTTGGAGGGGTGAGCAACTTTAATCAAACCAGTGTACCCAACCCGCTACCCGATCCATACGTGTATCTGACCTGACCCATGTACCTGTCTGGCCCAAACCTAGCCGAACGGAATCGAACCAGTCGAATTGGACCGATTTGAGTTGAGTCGAGTCAAATTAAGCCACACCAATCTACGTAGCACAGAGTTGGAGCCGAGCCAAGCCGTTGACCATCGTCGTTAACCGTTGACCAACATTGATTTTTCTGAAAACCTCTATCTCGATTTTTTCGACGTATTGAGTTCGATTTTGTGGCCTTATTTGTCAAATTCTAACTCGAAAGCCCCAAATCAAGCCCATTGATCCAAAAATGCTTCGTATTTTTAGCATTTCTACATTTTTATTTTGGATTCGATTATGGAATTGATATGAGATTATATTTCTATGAAGGTACACGTGATTTTCTTGACCGACGGTCGACTACATCTGATACTTCCCGTCTGGCAGATCAACTCATTGTACGTTCCTAGAGAGTTACTCAATCTAGCACTACCGTTGACCGTGATAGACAAACCCGAGAGTAGGATACAATCCTAGACTTCTCAAATCGGTGCAGATGTGTTCCTATTGGTGTTATATTATTATTTTGAAGTATCATTCTAAACTATTTTAAAATTTTGATTTTATTAAACACTCTGACTGCATGATATCTAATTTACTGTATACTTTCGACATGATCTCTAGTTACCTTATTTCTGTATCTGATTCTGGTATATGACATGTTTTAATGTTTTAATAAATTAAATTACTATTTTCACTCAAATACATGCACATTTATTATCATTGGGGTATGATTGAAGTATCTCAGACTTAGTCTATGACTTGTAAGACCTTACCGCGGGCTCCTATGCTTTGTGCACATGATAAGTCCTTTCCGCATGCCCTTATGCTATCATTATAAGGTCTTCCTTACTAGGTGTACATGTGGGTGTATGGTTCAGGGAAACCTATACGTTATGGTGTTCGGATGGAGGTAGTGTTCATGTTTTCAAAACCTATTTTATACTTAACTTTTACCGAAGTATTCTATATATATGTTTTAGACACCTCTAGGAGCATACTGAGCTTTTTAGCTCATTCTTTAATTCTTAATCTTGCAGATAGTACGGGACAATGGACTAGCAGACTCGGCATCACCAGGACCAATCTTTCCTCACTTTTGTACCACTGTATATTTATGTATACCCTTTTTGTTATACTTTGGTGACACATGTTTTTACCATTGTCTTCACTTATCTATATTAATGATATTTTGTTTTCCGATAATGATATCTCTGTATATTTACTATATGGATTTTTCTGATGATTATTTCAGTATTTTACCGTTATATGGATTTTATTTACTGGAATTGATTTTAAGTACACTTTAAATATGGAAAGGAAATTATGTATACGACATGTGACCGCTTGGATTCGGTCGTAACTCCCAGGTCGAGTCTAGGGGGTTACAATGTGCTTCTGCTTAATTTCACATTCTTCCAAAAGACTTAATTCCCATGTAGAAAGCTATAAACACGCTTTTGAGTTGATTGTCACCGTTGCATCCATATTTCACATCCTAAATAAAAAAATATAATTTTCATAATTAAACTCAAAATATAATTAGAATACGAATGATTTAATCATAACAAGATGAATATAATTATAACTTATCAACCAGTAGTCATCGCGATTCTACGCTTGACATCAACTTCAAGAGTTACTATAAGATCTCTCAACTAAAATTGAGAGAGAAGATAAGACAACCTCTCCTTATTCATTTCTCTTCTACCTCGTCCCGGCGGAGACCTACAACAATTATACTAACCAACAATCATTCTCTTAACGACCGTAAATCTTCATCTGAACCAAAAAGACATAAATAGTTTGTAACTACTTTAAAACATTTATTCTCATCAATAAATACAAATTCATATTTTTTCACATTGATTAAAAAAAAGAAAATATTAATAAATTCTTATGATGAAATGAATTTTTAATGAGAATTTGAGTATTTTATATTTACTGCTAGCATTTGTATAATTCAACAACAATTTGAAACTTATAAATCTAAATTTATTATACTTTAACTAAAATTTTAATAAAAAATAAATTAAATTTTAGTGTAGTTCTAGTGGTTAAAGATTACTCAAGACTAAATTTAAATAAAGTTTTTTTACTGAATAAGTTTGTTTTCTCTACAAATATACGACATGTTTTAACTTTTAAATGAGAGAAAATTATGAGAAAGATGCAATCTCTATTGGATTTTTTTAGAGATAATTTTTTAGGGGAATTTTTCTTGATAAAAAATGAATTTGTAAAATATATCAAGTTTATGAAATACATGGAGTTGCTTGAATTTAAATTATTTGTAATATATATTTTTATAGTGATTTTTTTATCTGTAGAGATAGGTATGGTCTAACTACAAAAAATCTTATTTCTTGTATATAATTTATTCATGATTATATCGCTTTGATTTTTTCTCATTGTAATCAAGATTATCTTGTTTCTTGTAGAGATAAGTTTAGTCCCTAAACTTTTGATATTTTAATTTTGTCCTCAAACTATAAGTCTCATCCTAAATTGATCTTAGAACTTTTAAAGGTTCTAAATTTTTCTTTAAACTATAAATCTTATTCTAAACTGATTTCTAAATTTTTAAATATTCCAATAATATCACCTAAAATATTCAAAAGTCCAGGGATGGAATTAAAATATTTAAAAGTTTAAGGATTAATATAGAATGAGACATAGTTTGGAGATGAATTTGAAACATTCAAAATTTTACGGATCGATTTAGAATAAATGTCATAGTTTGGGGAATAAATTGAAATATTTAAAAGTTTAAGATCCAATTTAAAGGACAAATAATAGTTTAAGGATATATATTACAATTAACTCTTAATAAAATCATATCTTTCAAGATATTTTCATACGTATAAGCCAGAATAGGTAGGTGTTTGAGATTTAAGAAGTTTTAGTATGATATATAAAATAATGGTAAAGTACACAAATAATTCATGGATTATAGGGCATTATTTTGTTGAATCTCTCAATTATTAAAAGTTATAAAATGGTCCTGGCGTTACTTTGTTGAATCAAGACTGTTTTAAGTTACAAAATGATCATCCGACTATTCATATGTTCCAAATTGATTCTTTTTTATTAAAAAAAATTGATGTCAATCTGAATTGAATGTTAATCTGTAGACTGGACATGATAAAATATGATCATAAAATCTCAAAAGGCTATAATGTCAACATTTTAACGTCCACCTCAGACTATTGTCAATTTTTTAACAAAAAAGAATGACTTTAGAACATATGAATAATCGGATGACCATTTTATAACTTTTAATAGTTGAAGAACCAACAAAACAACACCCTATAATTAGAGACTATTTTATAATATTTAATAGTTGAGAGACTTAAAAAATTAATTCTCTATAGTCGGGACCATTTCTTTACTTTACTCTAAAAACAAATACAAATAAATGGAAGGGAAAAAAAGTTGTCTAGTCCACACAAACGCATGGCCAGAAACCAACCAAAAGACTCTACGCATCGGGAAAATTCATTTTGGTTTCTTAAAATCTAAACTTGCAATCGTAGATTCTTAGTTGAGATTCTGGCCTTAGCAGTTAATTGAGTGAAAATTACACTGCCTTTCATCTATTTTTTTTTTAAATTAGTTCACCCTCTGTTGCCAAGGTACTTCTCCAAATCTAGGGATTTCGTTTTTCCTCCTCTCAATTTTCTGTATATTGTTACAATTTAATTCTAGAATTCAATTAATTTTCGCAGTCGTTATGTTGGTATTACTTTGTTTAATTAAGGGCTTTGATTAACTCTTCTTCACCCTTATTTTGGAGTTAAATCTCAGTTTCGTTTATTCGAGGTAAGCTAGTCTCCTTGAAATATATGTTGTTTTGTTGCTGTTTTATTTTGTTTCTTTGTTATGCTTGACATTGTGTTGGAATTTAATGGATTTTTCTCTTCAGTTTTATTTATTTTGTTATGGTCCTATTCAGTTTAATTACAAGGATTTGGAGGGAACTGGGTTAATTTTGAGGTTATATCCGATGCTTAACTGTTTCAGTCATATCTTATGCTGAATTATTTATGGTTTAATAGATTTTCGATCTCAGGATGCCAAAAGAAATCAGCTGTTTCTGATGAATTAATGAACATGGTTAATTTAGTTACGAAATTGTATTTGATATGAAGTGAACAGTCTTTTGGGTTTGATAGTAGGAAAAAAATAATTCAGTATCTTTTAGACTTTTGTTGGAAAAGTGAGCTTCTTGAGACCTAAAGCCATTTTTCATCCTTTTGTCTCCCACAGAACTTGATTATACAGAGCTTTGGTTTAACTGGTTTTGTTGTTTGTTTCAGTTTATTGTGATGGTGGACCTGAAAGAGCGTTTGCTTCCACCAAAACCTCAGTCAGCTATAAACATTAGAGATGCTTCTTTTTGGCCATCTGCCTCTGGACGCCAGCCTTTCCAAGGCATGGATTTATCAGGGTTAAAGAAGCGTGGCCAAGGACTTCGATCTTGGATCCGTGTTGATACATTTGGGAATTCGCAAGTAATTGAGGTTGACAAGTTCACTATGATGCGTCGTTGTGATCTACCTGCCCGGGACCTACGGCTTCTTGATCCTTTGTTTGTTTACCCCTCGACAATCCTTGGTCGAGAGAAGGCTATTGTTGTAAATTTGGAGCAGATACGGTGTATAATCACTGCTGACGAGGTTCTACTCTTGAATTCTCTTGATAGCTATGTTTTGCAGTATGTTGTGGAGCTACAAAGGCGACTAACAAGTGGAGTAGGAGAGGTTTGGCAATCTGAGGGTCCTGAGTTGAGCAGAAGAAGAAGCAGTAGGGGTTTTGACAATGTATATGGGAGTACATCCCCCGATTATTTGCCCTTTGAGTTTAGGGCGCTTGAAGTTGCTTTGGAAGCTGCCTGTACGTTCCTTGATTCACAGGTGAGTGAAAGTGGCCTAAAATTACTTATTGCATTTGAATTAAATGAGGCATTTGATAAACGGATGGTATTTCTAATTATGAACTTGTAGACCTAAAATCTCACCTGAGAATATATCGTGCTCAAAAATGGAGAACTGAACTTTTTTGTTTCAGTCATGGATTGGTGATTGAACCATAAAATATCATAAGTGGTATGGACAAGTATCAGGTTTTTCAAATTGATTAATATTTTATACATTTAAAAATTTTGGACTCGACATATTTCTGTCTCCCCCATCTTCCGACCCTTCTTCATAATCATAATATTAAGATTTTTTCTTTTTGTGGTTAAGTATCAAATTTCTCTTGCTGACATTTTAAAAAAATAATACTAATAAAAATCAATTGGTTGTAAGATGCATTAATTGCGGATTTGCTTTTTGATTGCTGGGGATGTTAAGCTACATAAAAATTAAGGAAAATAAATAAGGCGTATAACAGAAAGTCAAGAAAAATGTTGCATGTTACTGTTACTTTTGTCTGGGTTTTTCATCATTATCCTTTTATGCTCTTATCATAGTTTGTTGTGCTGTAACCTGTTTTTTAAAAAAGTCCTCTAGGATATCTAGTTTTTTCCTTCACTTTTCTTTTAAGCAAGTATTAATAATTTTTGAGGAGGAGAAAGGATTTTAGCAATCATGTTGGACACAGTGGAATTATCAGATGAAAACGTGTTTATTTTCTCTGACAAGTGAACTATCAAATTTGAAAACTAATGTTGAACAAGGTGTCAAGGTAGGGAACCCTTGCTGCTAAAAGTCATATGAGTCAATTCTATGATTTCAACCCATATTAGAGATCCAACCCAGCGACTGGTGTCGAAAGCTATATGGAACACTTTTATTTCTCAATCCATTGAAATACTCTGTTCTTGTATTTCTAACAATGGCCATATTCTACTTGTTGGACAGTGTTTTTTTTTTAGGAATTATCACCTTTTTTTACTATCAATATATTTTGTTGGTTGCATATGATTACTTTTATGAGCAAGTCGATAACTCCTTTGATGTTCTGAAGGCAGCAGAGTTGGAAATTGAAGCATATCCACTACTGGATGAGCTTACATCAAAGATCAGTACATTAAACTTGGAGCGTGTCCGCAGATTGAAGAGCAGACTTGTTGCATTGACTCGAAGAGTTCAGAAGGTATAAAATATTTGCATCTCTCCCTTTGCCAGGTAAATGGCAGCCTTGCATCTTCTGATACTTCCCCACTCTTTGGGTATTTATTTAGGTTAGAGATGAGATAGAACAGCTAATGGATGATGATGGAGATATGGCGGAAATGTATCTTACTGAGAAGAAGAGCAGGATGGAATCATCATTCTATGGTGATCAGTCTTTGATGGGATTGAGATCAAATGATGGACTTTCTGCTTCGGCTCCAGTTTCTCCTGTTTCTTCACCTCCCGAATTACGCAGGCTGGACAAAAGCCTCAGCATTGCAAGGAGCCGCCATGAGAGCGTGAGGAGTTCAGAGAGCACTACAGAAAATATTGAAGAGCTTGAGATGTTACTGGAAGCATACTTTGTTCTCATTGACAGCACCCTAAATAAGTTGACTTCGGTATGCAGATCACTTATTGAAATCTATATCCTCTTTGTCATCCCATTTCGTGGATGGACATAATACTATTTTCTTCTTGTTTCAGCTGAAAGAGTACATTGATGACACAGAAGATTTCATCAACATTCAGCTGGTATGATATTTTCCTCATTGATAGAAAAAATTGTTACTGAAGTGTTATTTTTCATGAATCTAAAGTGTAGAAGATAAAACTCTAAAGCTCTGTTTGGATGCACGGTGCCTTCATGGTCTCACCTACCCAACTGGCACCCTGCATCCAAATGGTTTTAAGTGATATTTTGATTCTCTGATTGGCTTAGCTAATTTGTTGAAAATTTCTTAGAATGGAAACATAAATAGGATAAAAGCATTGGATCTTTGCCAAGCTTATAATGACCTTAAAAACATGACTGCAGAACTTAGAATGCAACTATATATTCCAAAAATCTGGCCTGCCTTCTCTGTATTCATCTTTCTTGATGTTATGATTTTTTTTATATGTTTGGATGTGTGAAATTGCCAAAAAAAATCATTGGACATTTTTTTATATCTAAGGACAAACTTTGGGTTGCAGGATAATGTTCGAAACCAGCTGATCCAATTTGAACTGCTATTGACAACTGCGACCTTTGTTGTTGCTATTTTTGGGGTTGTAGCAGGGATATTTGGTATGAACTTTCCCATAACTTTTTTTGATTACCCTGGTGCATTTAAGTGGGTCCTCATAATTACTGGGATTTCTGGGATCATCATATTTTGTGCATTTGTATGGTTCTTCAAGTACAGAAGACTGATGCCCCTATGAAAAAAGAAAAATAAAAACAAGAGAAAGAACTTTTGGCATCATTGTTGTTATCAGTTTTATGTACCCTGAAATGTATATGGGAACTTAGAAAACCAAAACAGTTTTCTTTTGTTGCAATTCCGTTTCATCTTTCCCTACAAATGCACCATACATTGGGAAAATTGGAGGAAGAAAGAGACTGAAGCCAAGACGCGTGAGTGATTGTATCTGGTGTTAGAACATAGAACTTGACAACCCCAGCTGACTCGGTCTTCTCGTTTCCCATGGGTTTTGTCGTGCCCTCGATCGGATATGTCTGTTTTGGACTCTTATATGAGATCTTGATTTTCAACTTCTGGCTTGGGGTGACAAACTTGAGGGACTGTGGTTGGTAATGAAAGGTACCTACTGGATTACGGAAATGATCTGATCCGGTGCAGTGGGGGGAAGTTGAGTATCCGGTTGATTGATCGTGATAAAACTGATAAAACGGTTTGTCTTAACAGGTGTGGCTGAATCAATCAAAGCCCAAGGAAAACTATATATCATTATATTGCATGTATAATTGTTGGGTGTTTATCACCTGTCCACATCTTTAAAATAAAAGAATCAGACATGAAATCAAGATATTTGATCTTCCTTATCATCCAGTCTTATCTTCTTGCTTTTTCTTTTTCAATCAAACACCAGGTGAAGGAGAAACAAGAGTAAAATATAATTGATAATATAAAGCTACGTCAACCTCATTTTTTATAATTTATTCCTCGTAAAGAGTATGGTCATTAAGGTTTGCTACGATAGGATAGAAGGCAAGGTCCTTGAATAAAATAGGCTTTCAGTTAAGTCCTTCCATTCAATTGTGTCAACGTTCTAGGAAAGGACTACTTATAAACAAACATCTACACCCATCAAGACAAGCATGTTGCTATCTTGAAATAAGTTTCTCGACCCATGTCAATTTGACTGGTTCCTTGATACCATGTCTGAGAACATAAATTTGAAGATTTGAATTTGGATTTCATTTATTCTATAAATATTGAAAATGGGATGCATACATTACATATAAATTAGTTGAGATTGAATATAACTATATATTTACATGTTAGGAATTTGAGAGCGAAAAAATAATCAAAGCGGTATCAGCATAAAATAAGACATTCACAAAAAACAAGAGTTAACGTGGTTCGGCCTTGCCTACTTCCATGAGCGAGATGAATAATAATTCCCCATAAACGTAGAGAACATGAAGAATACAAATATATGACATCAAATGTATCCTAAAATCCAATATACATACCAAAATATGATATATTCCAAAACACTCTTCTAACATCCCTACAAAATCATATCTGCAACATAAACAAAAAAATTGCAGAGATCCCAAAACGGATTACATATCTCTAAAATAAGTCTCTTTCACATAACTATAAAGGCTAAGACATTATCTATATTTATAGAGCCAAATACGTGGTCACCAAGAATTCTTTTTCCATAAGAATTATTGCCTAAAATAAATATTTATTTTATCAAATAAACCTAATTACCAAGTAATCTTCGACCATTAGAATTACAATAAAATTTAATTTAATTATTAATTATAATTTAGGTCAAAATATAACAAACCTCCCCTTTGACTTAAATTTCATAAAAAAATGGTATTCAAGTCTTCAACAAATTCAATCTTTACGTAAGCCACATATCCATTGAAACACTGCTATCAAGTCTTCAACGACTTTAATTCTTACGCAATATCCACTAAAGTATTATTGGATCAATCGATAATTACTTCCTTGCAATTAAACTCATTGCAACAAATTCATCTTGCATGTCTCCAAAATCGCTAACAAAATCCTTAGCAACAAATTCATTCAAAAAATCTAAAACCCAAACCATTGCTCATGATACCACTTGTTAATAATTTGAGAGCAGAAAAATAACCAAAGCGATATCAACATTGTAACACCCCAAATTCTGGGGTAGTAGTTTCAGGTCTACACGAGAGGTAAATGGGCCTCGTGGATTTAATCATTTAAGTCCTTGGGTTTAATTGGGTTGGAATTGGACACAATTAGCAAAAAGAGAGATTTTTGAATAGTGGAAGTTGGGGATGACAAAAGGTGTAATTTCCCCTTTTTAAAAAGATGGAGACTTACTTTTATTTCTCTTCATCTTCATATCATATCATATTCATTTCTTAATCCTTTCTCATTTTCCTACTCCAATTTTCTCTCAAAATTTCCATAGCACAAAGGTAAGATCTTAAGCCCTTTTTATGCTTCAAATTCGTTAATAATTCTTCCAACAACATCTTTTAAATGAATCAAGTCTTGGTTTAATTCCTAGCGCGAGAAAAGTGGGGTTTCATCCAAATCACCAAGAAAAGGAGTTTGACTAATCAATGAGCTTTATTTCGGGATCCTAGCATCAAGGTAGTGTATTACTAATCCTTTATGGTGTTAAGGCTTTCTTAAACATAAAGATTTGTTAGGGTTTGAATTTTTAAACATTTTTGAATTTTTAAACATTTTAGGGTTTATACTTAAATTCATAGTTAGATGACGAATTTGGTGTAAAGAAGACGTTTTTATGTCACAAAGTGACCCTGAGTAACTCCCTAAAGCTTCATAACATGTTTAGAAACCAAACTATGGCCTTTAGGGTATTTTTATGTGTTTCTCGAGCCTAAACAAACCATTTCTAGGTTCAAGTATCGATAATGGGATAAATAGTATCGATATTGGTTGATTTGAGGTAAAAATTAGTGTTTTCAAAGGGGAGAGTATTGATATTGCCCCTACAATATCGATATTAAAGGTGTCAAGTGTTGATACTGGACCATTTTTTCTAGACTTTGATACTATTTTTGGTACCGATACTCATAGGGGTATCGATACTTGAGCCTAGGGTATCGATACTACAAGTAGAGTATCGATACTACCCATATTAGATGATCAGATTCGACCCGGTTAAGGTCCGTAAGAGCTAAGGATGTTCCATAGTGGCAGAACTGTCCGCTCTTGTGGGTTCTATATAATGAGTGTGGATATATGTGCAAGTATACATAATCGAACAAGTAATACAGTGATAAGTTGAGTATCGTCTCCACAGGGAACTGGGGGAGTCAAATAGGTTTGTCAAGGCATTTTACTTTGTCACCTAAGTAAAGTTAGTTATGTTATATACAAATGATAATGCTGTGGCAAAATGGAATGACTGATGCGGAAATGGAATGATGGCGTTGTGGTAGTGAATGGATATATCGTTGTTGAGACTTGACAATGAACATATTTCAAGTCATTTGGGAATAATGGTGAATGAAATATTTGTTTAATAAATTATTATTAATAAATATTTGAATATTATTTTATGATTGTGATAAATTTTTTGCATTATTTGATTGCAGGAGGACGAACAGCAAGTCATTCGTCTTCGGTTACATAAAGTGCCCAAGCCACACCGATTGATAGAAGAAAACCTGCAAGAGGCTGGATTTTGGTATGTAACATTTGTGTGATATTACAAGTTGGTCACAGGTTTGATCAGTGCGTTGATTGAACGTTGGAGACCAGAAACGCACACGTTTCATTTGCCGTGTGGCGAATGTATGATTACTCTGGAGGATGTGGCAATGCAACTCGAGGTCCAAACTAATGGGATGCTGGTGGTAATGACACATGAGTTTACTAATGTGGGAAACCTTTGCAGTTTGTTTCTTGAGAAAACGCCCGTACCACCAGAGTGTAAAGGGTGGCATGTGAGGTTGTTTTAGTTGAAGAATGAATTTCAGCTTCAACCAAATAGTACGGAGCACGAAATTATATATGCAACACGAGCATATATATTGCAATTGATTGGAGAAATTTTGATGCCGTATAAATCTGGTAGTTATGTTCACACTCAGTATCTTCTTTTTCTAAAGAAATTTTGAGAATATTAGGCAATATAGCTGGGGATCGGTGATATTGGCGTTCTTGTATCGTGAGATGTGCAAGGCGTCATTAGCTGTGAATGATAATAATACAGCAGAAATCGGTGGATGTCTGTTGCTGCTACAATCATGGGCTTGGCATAAACTTCCATTTTTGACACCGATTAGTCGGACTGCGGTTGACATTCCACTTGCTGGAAGGTAATATGAATCCTCTATTTTAATATAAAATATTAATTATAAAATATTTATTTTGATTAAAATTATTGAACAAAATGGCCATATTTTTGTTTTGATTGATATATAGACGGAGGCATAAAATTGAAGGCATGGGGTTGGTGCACAACAATATTAAAGAGTTCAGGCTGAAGATCGACATTAAGGCAAAAAAGGAGGTATGTATAATCTGTTATTTTTAATTATTATTTAAATTAACTATATTATTTGATTTAAATCAATTTTATTGTTATTTTAATTTTACAGTTTAATTGGAGACCATACATGAATGAAGAAATTTTGGCGTTGGAGCCGCACGATGTTTTAGATGGGTTTCAATATTGGTGTGCTGTTACACCATTGATCAATTTTGCTTTTGTTGAGATCCAATTTGGGGATAGAGTACTGAGGCAATTCCACTTCCACCAACCTATTCCGTGGAGTCCATGGGATCAAGACCTCCTCCAAAACTTAGATGGTCATCGTTAGGTGAATTGGGTTGAGACGCATGACCACTTGCACAGATTTGATAGTCGCTGTAAAGAAAATATTAATTGGGTAAAGAAGCATGCAACCTACATTAATGCTTGGAACAATAGGGCTTCATTCATGCCAACTCTTGACGACATTCAAGACGACGACTTTAATTTTGAGACTTTGGCTTACCTTGCTTATTTTTGGGATAATGGAAAGCTGTTCTTGACAACAATGGTAGAGAGGCGACAATTTTTTAGGTTTAAGAAAAGATTTGGTAAAGCTGAATACTCTCTACCGAGTGGGAGTGGGAGTTCATCTCAACAACCTGAAGCGGAAATGACTGATGTGGATAATAGCGCACCACAACCGTTCGGCGATGCGGGATCATTGCATCACGCATTTGATGATTCTACTGTCTCGGCATACATACTAGAGTTTGTGTAGCCTGAGGCACCCATCTACTCTCCCATGTTTTCGTCGACGTATGACTTTGAACACATGACAGTTCAAATGCCCCCAATGAATGAGGAGGATGGGTACCATACTCCTGAGCAACCGCAACGGTCACAACGCATCAGACGTCCGCCCCGACATTATCATTCAACAACACCCCGACATCGACAACAATTGTAAACTCGTTTGTTATTTGTTACAAATTATATTTTGAAATTAGACTAGTTTATAATGTTTTTTTAGTATCAAATCATTATTATAATTTCATTACTAGTAATCATTAGTATCAAATAATTAAAATATTAATAATAAATCATTATTAATAATAATTACTAAATCATTAGTATCAAATTATTAAATATTTAGAAATCATTAATAAATTTGACTATGTATAAATTTAAATTCGAGTAGTCCACACTTATAAACTCATTTGTTATTATTCCATAATTATTAGTAATAAGTATTAAATCATTAGTATTAAATCATTAATAATAAATCATTATTATCAAATCATTACTAAATCATTATTATTAAATCATTATTATAATGAT